TAGCAACAACAAATGTTGGCAAGGTGTGGAGAAAAAGGAACTCTCCTGCACTGTTGGTGGGAGTGCAAGCTGGTCCAACCACTATGGAGAGCTGTGTGGAGATTTCTTGAATTACTAAACATAGAGCTTCCATATGATCCAGCAATTCCACTCCTAGGTATTTACCCAAAGGACACAGAAACATCAATTCCAAAGAGCACCTGCACCCCTATGTTTATAGCAGCTCTATTTACAATAGCTAAGCTTTGGAAACAACCCAAATGCCCAAAAATAGATGACTGGATCAAGAAGATGTGGTCCATATACACCATGGAATATTACTCAGCATTCAAAAAAGATAAACACATGTAATTTGCAGCAACTTGGATGGAGCTGGAAGGGATCATGCTCAGCGAAATAAGCCAGAAAGAAAAAGAAAAATACCAGATGGTCTCACTCCTAGCAGGAATCTAGAAAACTTAAAGAAGGGACCAGGAAAAAGAATAACTATAAGAAAGAAAGTATCAAAATCAACAAACAACTATAAACCAGAGACACTCTATGGGGGGTGAGGGGCAGGGAAAGGAGGGTTTGGGGTCAAAATAAGGGGGTTGTAATTGTAAGGGGAATATAAAAATAAAATTTAAATTAAAAAAAAGAAAAAAGTACTTCATAGTTTTTGAAGTGATTATAAACAATAGTGATTTTTTTAGTGGTTCATCATTAGTGTATAAAACGAGATTGACTTTTTGCTGTTGATTTTGTATACTGCAACTTTACTAAATTCACTCATTAATTTTAGAAGTTTTTAGTGTCAATTCCTTGGGATTTTCTACACAGACCATCAATTATCTGTAAATAAGAAGAGTTAATTTCTTCTTTTCCTGTCTGGTTTCCTTATCACAATGGACGTAATTTATAATACTATACTGAAGAGCTAAGACCAAACATCCTTACCTCATTCTGATTCTGAGAGGGAAAGGTTTTAGTTTTTCATCATTAAGCTTGATGTTAGCTAGAGGTTTTTTGTTGTTGTTGTTGTTGTTATTGTTGTTTTGTGGACCCTTCCCAGCTGCCAGTAACGAACCAGCACTGCAGAGGCTGCAGGCAGCGTTGCAGCCCAGAGCTCAACTGCTGCACCACCAGGGGAGGCCCTAGAGGGTTTTTTTTTTTAAGATGATCTTTGTGAGATTGAGTAAATGTTCCTCCAAGTTTGCTGAGAGATTTTTTTTCTTATCATGAATGTGTCAGACTTTATCAAATGATTTTTTCTAAGAATTTATATGTGAAACATGGTATGATCATGTTTTTCCTTCTCTAACCTGTTGGTATGTTGTCTGCTCTAGTGCCAGCATGCACAGGGCAGGCTCACTTTCTGCTAGGTGAAAGAGCGTCTCAGAACCCTTGGTGGATTTTTCAGGCCTTAATCACTCTCTCAGGGAACCAGGTGTACAGGCACACCAGGCAGGGAGGCTGGCATGCAAGAAGGCAGGCACAGGCCCAGCAGAGGGTGCTGGGAGGCAAGCAGGCAACCAAGCCTCCCATTCCCCCATGAATCTTTATGCTCTTTCTCTGGGCTCTCTCTGGCATTCTCTCTCTTGTGTCACCTCATGGTCTCACCTCTTCTGTAGTCACAGCACTTATCCTCCTCTCACTGTTGCCACTGACACTTTTATGCCCACCAGTTTTATCCCTGCCTCTAGGCTCAGGTGTGCATACTTACACATGCCTGCACACCCATACTCCAAGTGTCCACAGTCAAGCACATGGGCCCCTTGTCCATGCTCCCAAACACTTTCTGCATTAACACAATCAAAGCCACAGGTGATAGCAACAGAGGCTAGTGGTATAAAAGCCTGATTAATTCATTTACCCTATATGTACACTAACTGATTTTCTTCTTAGTATTGAATCAATCTTGCACACTTGGAATAAATCCCAACTAGTCTCTCTTGTAATTGCTCTCTTGTAAATTCCTCTTGTAATTGCTGAATTTGATAACCTCTTGTGTTGTTAGGGATTTTTGTCTTGCGGGTTATGAGAGATAGTGGTCTGTGGTTCTCTTGTGTACTCTCCTTGTCTGACTTTGATATTAGACATAGAGTGGGCATAAGTATTGCCTCTACTTCCATTTTCTGCAAGGATTTGTGTAAAATTGATATTAATTCTTCATAACTATTTGCTAGAATTCTCCAATGCAACCATCTTGGCATGGATCTTTCTTTCAAATTTCAAATGCCATTTCTTTAATTCTTATAGGATTTCAGGTTGTAGCTTTTCATATTGGTTGAGTTCTGATGGTGTGTGGTTTTTGAGGAACTGGCCCATTTCTTCTATGTTGTCAAGTTTATGTGTGTGAAGTTGTTCATAGTATTCCCTTATCCTTTAAATGGCTTACAGGATCTGTAATGATCCTGTTTCATTCCCAGTAGAGGTGATTTGTGTCCTCTCTGTTTTTATGTCTTTGTCAATCTTATCAGATTTATTTTTTGAAAGAGTCAAAGATGTATTGTTTTTTCCTCTATTGTTTTCTTGTTGCCATTAACTTCTACACATATCTATACTATTTCCTTCATTCTGATGACTCTGATTTTTTGTTTTGTTTTGCTCTGTTTTACATTTCTTGAGGCAGTAATTTGTTGATAATTTCCCTCATATTTAATATAAGCATTTAGTGCTATATATTTCTCATTCACAAAGGAAAGATTAGCAGAAGCACATGAAGGTTAGTAGAGGCACCTGGCCAAGGATCAGCTCTGTGACCATTCTGCGTCATCCTTGGATTGCTTATGTCAGCTCTAGGAGCTTCTTCATTAGAGAATGGAGATCTACTCCTTGTAATGAATTTCTGGAAAAACTAAGGCTTGACATCTCAGAGCATGATTCCACAAGGAGCAAAACCTCACCAAACCTCCTGGGCCTCCCCGGTGGCGCAGTGGTTGAGCGCTGGGTTGCGAAGCTGCCTGTAGCCTCTGCAGCGCCGGTTCAATCCCCGGCTGCTCCCCGGCCACCAGAGGAGGGTCCCACATGGCGCGCAGACCTCTCCTGCCGCCCACTGCTCCCCTCAGCAGTGTACTTCGGTCCTTCTGCCTGCTCTGCTCCCTGCTCTGGCTCTGGTGAATTCTCTCACCCTCCCGCGCTTCTGACTGTACCCAGTGCGTGTATAAATAAATAAATAAATAAATAAATATAAACCTTAAAAAAAAATTAAAAAAAAAAAAAAACTCACCAAACCTTTCTGCTCCAACAGTTTGATTCTGTGATTAACTTTAAAATAACATTTATTTTACACAATTATAAATACATTTTCATTTGAGAAATTTTTTAAAATATAAAAAAAATTATAGAGAAAACAATGTATTGAAAAGCTTGCCCCTTCCATCACTCCCTCACCACCACTCACCTCAAAGGATGCTCTCCAAGCTTTTAAAACATTTTTTCATACATATATTGACATTTTAAAGCTTTACTTTTAATAGTTAATTTTAATTTTTTTTTCTTATATCATTGTTAATTTTTGGACTGTATTTGATTCCTCCCCTCAAGTGTAGTCCCTGTAGTTCTCCCACCACCAAGCCCCCATGACCGTCTGCCCTGTCCCTATGTTCTTCCCTCCGCCTTTTGCTATATGCCTCAGAACAATGGTCAGATTGCAAGTTTTATCTTTTTGCTGACCCTTTGTTCAGTTTCCCTATATTCCACATGTAAGTGAAACCATCCAATATTTATCTTTCTCCTTATTTTGCTCAGCAGAGTCTCTTCCAGCTCTATCCATGTTGCCACAAATGGCATGAGTTTATCTTTTTTGATCACTGAATTGTAGTCTATTTTGTGGGTGGTAAATATATATATATATACCACATCTTCTTGATCCATTCACCTAAAACATGAACATTTTTCTTTTTTAAAGCACACACACCTTTTGAACATTTTCACTTAACAGTATAGGCTGTTAAGTGAAATAAAATAAAAACAAAATAACATGAAAACACAAAGCCATCCAGAGTTTGGGTAACAATCAGAGCCAGGGGGCTGTTGAGGGTGGGGTACCAGGCACGTGCAGGAGCCATCTCCCCCACCCCCAGGCCAAGAAAGAAGTGAAACCAAGCTGGTAAGCCATGCTCAGCATTGAAACCTGACCAATCACCATTGACAAACTTTCCACCAATCAGAACTGCACTGACTGAAAATTTTATTTGCATAAAGTGGACCTACCCCTGCTCTTTGTGCCTATATTAGCATGCTCTCTGCAAAGTTCCTTGGGGATGCACATAGCTCAAGTGTTTCTTGAGTCTATATTCCCCTGAAAGACAGTCCTGAATGTGCCAATAGAACAAAGATTTGCTATGATTCCTGCGAGAACTGTAACATTACTACTACAACACTGTGGTTATAACAGAGAGCTGTAATACTACTACCATAACAGGAGAGCTATAACACAATTGCTATAACTTGACCAAACTTCTTGGTCAGCACAAATATATCTTTGTGTTATTATGTATCTTTCTAAAATGTAATTTAAACTGATGTGGATACATCATAATTCCACAGTATTTAAATTTGTTTCTAATTTTTATCTTTACAAGTTGAATTTTGAATAAGCCTGTGGATATGTCTCTGACCATTTCCTGAAGTTGAATTCCTAGAAAAGGAAATTTTGTGTCAAAGGATATGATCATTTTTAAGATAGCCCTCCAGAAAATTTATTCCCTAATCTACTCCCACGCAGAAGTATGCTCTGCATTTTCTTATATAGAATGTTCAATTTTTTTTTAATATTGCATTTGCTTTTATTAAGGGTGACATCTTACACAGTACTGTTTTAGTTTTCATTCCTTGCTAGGAAAGCAAGTGTGATTCTCAATGCATAATTAATGGGTATAAAGAAAAATCATCCGTTTCTTTCTTTAAATTGATTTCGTTCCAAGCTTGAATATTCCCCGTGGTGAAGTCCCAAGGTCCTGGGTCTCTTAGGGAGACTTTCCAGCTTCAGCAACCCATTTGTACTGGTCACTGGATACCCCCGAAGTCCTCGTGTACACAGAGCCTCCAGGTTGGCAGTCGGCTGCTTTTGCCCCCTTGGCCATAACGCCCTTTGCCCCAGCCCCATAACCCTCCTCTCAGAGCTAGAATAAGGCTTTGAATCCCTCTGCTGGTGTAGCATCCAGACCCCTACAATCTCTGCAAAGACACTAACCCTTTTCTTCTCACACGCTCTCTGCCCATCCTTCCCAGGGCACCCAGCACTATCCATTCATAGTGTAAGATCAGTCTCCCCAAAGGAGTCAGACAGGCCTTTCCCAAGACATCTAATCTATGCCTTTTCCAATACCTGTCACCTTGGTTTGTGAAACTAGGTTGACTGAGGTCCTGTGAGCCTTGAGAGAAACTGTTACCAATACTTAAAGAATTCAGAGTACTTAGATTCAGGGTTCTTTTCAGAAACAACCTATTTTTTTTGAGAAACTTATCTTAAGGCAGGGCAAATGTCATCTTCTTATAATATGAGACCCTCTCCTCTCCTTGATACCTCAGGCTTCCAGTTTGTTCAATTAATTGATAGTGTGAAAGCATGTAAATTCTTCATATGTATGCTATTAAATGCAGACTTTTTCTCCTACTAATCTGTCTGATGTTAATTTGTTTGTCCAGCTCAGAAAAACCCAGCAGAGTGGAGAATTTCCCTCTTTGTCTAGACAAGGGCATTAAGCTATTAAGGGAGGATTGCTCTCTGGGATGTTCCCAACTCCTGAAAGGACAAAACAGAAAATAACACACAATTAGCAACTCAAAAATCACATTGCTGAATGAGCAAGGATCTCCTGGTTTTGTACATTTCCCAACCCACCCACCTTCTTTATAATGTGAACACTGTTCCTAGCTCATGTTCATCATCTCCTTTCTTAATTATAAGAACTCTTTATACAGGACCTCAGCCCTCTGGTTATCATATGTGTGACAAAATCTCCCCTGAGGAAGGTATTATTTGTCTTTGAAGTTTGCCTGGGAGTTTTGTGTGTTCATTTTATTTCGCTTTTTAAATATGGTGTGAGATATTAATTGGGATAAATGTCTCAGTAATAGACAAAATTTAGTAGATAATCAAAATGAGAGTTTGAACCCAGGAAGCAATCCAACAGATTTTATTCTGTGAGAACTATTCCAACAATCACAAGTTTGAGTATAATTTATATAGGTAGTAACATTGACATAAAAATGCAATTATTCCTGACAGGGGGCTTCTGGTGTTCAGTTATTTTGACCTAAAGGTATGTTGGTGCTATCTGTGCACAGAGGAGGGCAAATGATGGCATTTAAACTCTTCCTGTCTAAATAATGCAAAGGTTGGGTGTCTATTGCTTAAATCTTCTTTATCTGTCTCTTTGGTCATTTGGTGGGAATTAAAAAGGCTGGTTTACCCACAGGCAGCAGATGTTTGCATAGCTGTTTCACAGACCAACTCTACGCAGATGGCTTTGCTTTTTTGTCTGCTGACCAGGGAAGGGGATTCCCAGACCATTTTACAATATGTTCACAGTGGAATCCTTCACTTACGTTTTAAATGGTTTTGCTGTGTTTTTATAATTTTGTAATTTATAATTTTATAACCTTCCTTGCCCTTACCATTTAGTTTTTTATAGTTTCCTTTGTTAATTTTAGAAACTGAATTGTCTGGAATGCAATTCAAGTTCTAAAATTAACAAAGGTATTATGGGGTGGGAGCCATTCTCATTTTCTCACTAGGTCTTGCATGCAGCAGTGCTCACTATGAAGGCAACTTCTGTCTGTGATTTGCCTTTGAAGGGATGAGCACGAGGCCGCAGGTCCCCTGAGGGGACAGAAAATGCTGAGATCCACAAAAAGTCTCCCTGAGACTCAGGGTGTCTAGCACCTGAGGGTGTCATGGACCTGCTGTGGCTGAGGGCACTCACAGACACTCCAAGGTCTGAGGGGTCCTGTATTCCTACTCTCTGAAACAAAAGACAGGGTTTCATCTTTGTCCTGCCATCAGGGCCATGTGAATGAGCTCTTCCTTCTCAGGCTGGGTGATAATGGGATTCAGATGAGTGGGGGTTAGATGATGGGCTTCAGTGAGGGGGGTCCTTGGGTTCCCTCTGAGAAAGGTTTTGGTCGAGTTTCCCATTCACCAGCACACGGTGAGTTTACTAAAGATAAAGGCACCTGCACAGACACAAACAGGCAAAGACTGCAATTTAAAACGGCAGGTTTATTAAAAGAAATACCTGCATAGACACAGGTGGGCAGTATTGTGACAAGACCTGCATTTTGCCAGAGCAAGGGGTATGTTCATATAGAGTTTCACTGGGAGTTTCATTCCTTTGTGGGATTTTATTTATTGTGAAATCTATCATTTCTAAGGCCTGATTGGGTAAATCTGTAAGTATTTGTGTTTCTTTGTTAGGGCCAATAATTCTCCACATCCCTCCCATCGGTCTGCGCCTGTAGATTTTCCATAGCAGGTTTAATGACTCCTATATCATTTCGATTCCCACCTCCAGTTTCTGGCCTTGTGAAGCTTCCATCCTAAATTTTGTACTCTAAGCTTCCATCAAGTGAGACCCTCTAAATGGTTTCCTTCTTACTCCCAGGCCTGCCAGTGTTTCCAGTGCTCAACAGAATTTGTCCCATACAAAGGGAACTTGTCACCTAAGGCTTGACAGAAGCATTAGGTTACTGATTGCTTGCTGGGTCAATTCATTGTTGATGTGAGCAGAAAAAAAGAGAATTTTGTACCAGGTACATAGGCAGACCAGGCAGGGAGGCAACAACTGAGCCCCCTAGCCTCAGAGTGACCCAGCCCTGAACGCCAGAACTGCGGAGCCCCTATTAGCCCCTACCCCCTTTCTCAGCCCGGCTGTCTGTATTTACATAAGCGAATGCCCTGTGTTCTCTGGCCCCAGGTATCCACAATCACAGGCATGCCCCCCATGTACTCTCTCAGCCCCAGCCATAGAGCTGGTAACACAACCTGGGAGGAATGCGAGGCCACAGGTGGCGCTGTAGAGGCCAGCAGCGGGAGGGCGGGGCAAGGGAGGCCTGAGGCGCTCCATTTCCCTACACTGCTCCGTAGCAACTAAGGCTCAGAATTCTGGAGCTCAGCTTGTTATAGGACAGCCCCAATATTGAACGGGTTGCCTGGCTGTGGGTCCTCACCCGCGCGCTTAAAAGGGACTTATTAATACTCCACTACAGGCACACACAAAAGGTTAATAAAAGGTTTATTTACAAGGGAAAAGGAAATAAGGAAAATGTACAACTCAGGGAGAAAATAGGGAAATAAAGTCTTTAATGCGTCCTACCCAATCCGCCGACCTGGAAACCCAAAGTCACTCTCAGAGCTGGCTGGACGCTGCGAGCTGGCGGAGAGCCAAAATGCCCCCCGCCCCCACACACACACCAAAGCCCACATGTCTGGCTTTATACCAACTTGGCTGCTTAACCCCACCCTCAGGTCCCAGCCACCTTCCCTTTGGTGGTGATGGGATTTGGAGTTCCCAGTGTCTTTGGCTTTGGCCTGGGGTGGGGGTGGAGTCCACAAAGCCTGTATGGAATTAGCTTTAGGACATCCTTTTCCCCCTAACAAGCTCAGTCAATTCCTGACAGTATCAGGGTCTGAAGGCCACAGGACAGGGGCCTTGTTCTCCCTCCTTTCTCTGACTCTCCACCAAAAATGTGTATTAGGCGGGGGTTTGTTGGGTGGGGGCACAAGCAGGAAGTGAATGTAGGAACAGAGGCCCAGAGCAGAAGCTGCAGCCTTTAAATGGTTGCAGGGCCATCTTCTGGTGCTGAAGAGCGGATGTGATCCTTCTTAAGATGTCATCTGAGAGTCCCAAAGTAAATTAGAAGGCATTTTCAATCACTGTCATTAAAGGGGAGACAATTACCAAGACAAGGAACCCTCAACCCCAAGGAGTTCCAACCAATAACACAGCTGTGGGTGCTGCCTTCCCAATCACCTCCCCCAGTCTCTGCTAGGTCTGAGTTTACCCTTGGGCTCTTGGCTGCTCCTCCCCCTAGTGCTCCTCCTGGGGGCCCAGTTTCTCAGCGGAAGCCACAGGAGGTAGTGGGGGCCAGGCCCCCAAACACTCTGTGTAGAGCAGCCACTTGCTGACCTCAAAGCACCAGCTCAGGGCCCAGATGCAGAGAGGGGGCAGCAATCTGTGTCTGGTATTTGAAAAAGAAGAAGAGATCCATCAAGTGCAATTACGTGATCAGCTCCTTCCTGCTCTGTTTAGCTGACTAATTCAATAGGAGCCAAACCAGAGGCCTGGGCTGGGAGAGGCGCTCCCAAATTGAATGAAGGCCTTGCTTCTGCTGTAACATGTCAACTTCCGCTCAGCCCCAGGCTTGCCCAGGAGTCAGGCCAGGTCCACAGTAGAGGTACTGGGACATACAGCCACCTCCCCTCTAGAGCACTTAAGTCAGGCATCGGGCTCAAGGCTACATGCCTGGGGAGGGAAGGAGACTGGTAATGCCATCAGTAGGCTACTGGGTAATACTGCTGCCCAAACCCAGGACTGTCTACAGTTGATGTCCTTGTCTTACAGAGTTACTTCCTCATCAGAGTGCTATTCCCCTGAGCAGCAATGCCCTGGGTCAGTTGGAAGGGCAGGTGAGAATCAACCATGGGGGGTTTTATTGGGTGGGGGTGCAGGAGGGGATCTGTACATCCCTGGTTTCAGGCTCCAGCTAATCCTGTAGAAGGAAGGCAGGATTAGCCTTCCTGGGGTTTCCCCCATGGGGCTCATTAAGCCTAAGACTGTATCCCAAACAACCCTGTGTCCTTCAACACCCAGCCTAGATTGATTAATTCATTGAGTTCAAGTCTTGGACCCAGAGATGCCTCCCTGGTGGCCTGGGAGTTAAGTCTCAGAGCTATAATCGCCATAGCCTGAGTTCGATTTCAGCCAGGGAGCTAACCCATGTGACGCAGCTGACCTCTCCTGCTTCTCCTGCTACTCCCCTCAGCAGTGTATTTCAGTCAGTCTGCCTGTTCTGTCCCCAACTGTGTCTGGTGAATCCTCTCACTACCTTCTGCACTTCTGGCCTACACCCCAGTTCTTCT